AGTGATGTCTTAATTATTTAATGTATGTTTAAATAAATCTATTATGAAACAAGTTATGACAGCAGTGTAAATGATATTATGAAAACAAAACTAATAGACATTTTAAGAGGTTAATTTAAAAACTGCTTTATGTGCAATTTACATTTTTGCTAGGGGTGTAACGGTACACAAATATGACAGTTCGGTACGTACCTCGGTTTTAACGTCACGGTTCGGTATGATTGAACTAACGAGCTGTGGACACTGATGACTTGCTGAGGTAAATTAAATGCTACGTGACATTTTATTTCTGTATTGTTGATGTCTTTCCGCGGTTGAAACACTGATTGAGCAATTACATGAGGCATGAGATGTTCAGTCATGTTTATTCGCGTTAAAACTAGTAGTACAGAGGAAGGAATGACCGCGTTCACTCGCGCTCCGCTCTGCACAAATCTGCGGGGCGTCACGGCTCAGACACGGGAACCGGAGCTGATCGCGGCCGCTCTAGTCAGTGCTTGTGTTGGGATTATATACCAGCACGTCTCTGAACCGTCCCAGAAGCGGCTCTCCAAGGCGTTTCTACAGCAATCTGTCATGCCTCATAAAAGATGGTCAAAACGCCATTTATTATTTGAATTTCCTGAGAAGAAGAAGAAAAAAAAAACTGTATTCGTGCGGTACACATGCGTACCGAACCGAAAGACACGTACCGAAACGGTTCGGTACGAATACGTGTACCGTTACACCCCTAATTTTTGCATAAACGTTTTTAAGTCGAGTCTTGATTATTATAATTAAAAATAAATAGTACTGTTGTTAATTGTAACCTCATAGCAGGCTAATGTAAAAGGGCTCAATATAGTTTAGAGCATAAGCTAATTTTAATTATACTTTGATTTATTTAAATAAAGAGCAATTTGTTCAGTAAACCACTGTTTTAAAAAAGCTTGCATGTGAAATATTACATTTTCATGAAAAAAAAAATCACTTAAATGATTATCTAAATTTGATTTAAGTTGTTTCTGGATATTGATCTAGGTGTTAGGTGTAGAATTCTGCCATCTGCTGGTTGGAAAAAAAACTTATAGAAATTACAGTTTTTGAAAAAAATTTAAAGTGTAATGACCATATATATCCAGCAGAGGCCCATGGAGATGCATTCATTTTTCTGGAAGTGGCTAACTGCTCCTCTCACAACTTTTCTGATATATATGTTGTAAATATATGTTGAAACATTATAAAATACATTAAAAACAGTATTTTTCTCAAAGGATAAAATTAGTTTTTTTGTTGTTTGAGGTATTTTGAAGTGCCCACTTTTGCAATAATGCCACATAAATTTGCAGAAATGCCACACAAGTTGTCACTAAAACTTGATTGCAGGCACATATTTTTTTCAATCTAAAAAGTAAAATTAAAACAATTTTATTTTACTTAAATGTAAATAAAAACCACACACACACACACACACACACACATACACACACAAACTGCAATAAGCAGATATGAATGGTGTGCGTGTGTATATGCTGAATGTGAATATGCTCGTTCCACATTGCATTTGTGTTCTAGTATCAGGCCTTCATTTTTGTGCAGACATTTTCAGATTTATGCAGGATTTATTGATTTTATTTGCCATTTTCTATAAAAATGCTCTCTGCTGCGGTCACACGTGTGTGTGTGTGTGAGTGAGCATGTCTTTTCTACATTGCATTTGTGCTCTAGTATCAGGCCTTTATTTCTGTGTAGAAATTTATTTGATTTTTTTTTTTTTTGACAAATGAAAAAAAAATAAAATAAAACAAATATATATATATATTTTTTTTTTTTTTCGCATTTCCCATTCATTTCAATGAAATACCAGATTAGTAAAAAAAATAAATAAATAATATACTTTCAGAACAACCGAATCAAGCTCAGTTTTCTTTTTTTTATGTGAATATAGATAGAAAATGTAGAAAAGTCACATCTTATTCCACTGAGATGAAGGGAACCATTATTTGGTTATAAAAAAAAATAGTTTTCCAGAATATTCCTTTGACGTTAGTTTTTGAAGAAAGAAATCATTGGTATCAAAAGTGGTGAGCTGATGGGATTGTGTGCAATCCAGACTTTAAACTGAACGTCAACTTCTGCAGGAAACAAGCGGAAAGTGCGTCTCTATCAGTTCCTCCTGGACCTCCTGCAGGACGGAGACATGCGGGACTGCATCTGGTGGGTGGACCGAGAGCGAGGCGTCTTTCAGTTCTCCTCCAAACACAAGGAGACACTCGCCGGCCGCTGGGGCCAGCAGAAGGGCAACCGCAAGAGAATGACCTACCAGAAGATGGCCAGGGCCCTGCGCAACTACAGCAAGACCGGCGAGGTCAAAAAGGTCAAGAAGAAGCTCACGTACCAGTTCAGCAGCGAGGTGCTGAGGAGGATGACTACGGACAGGAGGCAGTATCATCACTGACATTTCCTTTAGATCCAGTGTCTCTTAATATTCACAGATTCTCTCCTGCCATTGTTCTGCAGCAAAAAATATTATCTCAGGGATATGTAATATGTATAGTTAAAATAGGGATGTAATATCTGAGTAGCTGACAAATGGACATGGACAAAAGACAGTTTTAAGGTTAAAGTGTCTTTATTCGTAAAAGAGTACATGCTTTCATGTTTTGATGCTGTAACTGGTCAGTTTTATTTTATGTTTTCTTTTTTCACTTTTAAATCGGCTTGATTTCACTATTGTTACATTTCAATTGTCCAGTGGTGTGACAAATTAACACCAGTTAATATAGTTATGAAAACTGCATGCATAATAATAACACAATTTTAATAATATAATTCTCATAATAATGTTACACATCTAGTTACTATGCGGGACATTTCAACGTGTTCAGCTATTTTGACACATTTTGACTTCCATACACTTCATCCACACAAATAAGTAAGCTTTAACTTATTTTATGTTTATTAATGCGAAAAATCGGTCTTTATATTATGAGGAGGTGTCACACCGCTGAATAAACGAACCTGGAAGTCCGCCTTGAAAATAGCTTATTTACTTTTTGTTGGGTTTGTAATTCCACTGGAAAAAAATTCCATAAAATTTCGGTAAAAAACCGGCAGCTGTGGTTGCTGGAATTTTACCGTACAAAATACAGTTTTAACTTAAAAAAATACAGTTTTAACTTAAATTTACAGTTAAATACCGTAATTTCATTAACTGATGTAATGTTACTATACCAACCTATTGAAGTACTGAAATCTGTTTTGTACCTTTGTAATACACTTAGTAGGGGAATTTACCGTTAACCATTTAACAGTCTTTTACCATTAAATTCAGTCATTTTTTACAGTGTAGCAACACAGATCCTTAAGAGATTCAAGACTCAAGGCATATAATTCACGAGGAGCGCGTTTGAAATATATATTTAAAACGTATTTCTATCTGAATAAATAATTTTACTGACCCCACACTTTTGAGCGGTCCAAAGACAGCCATTCAAAAAGTTTATATATGAATAGATATTATTATTATAGCCATAATTTTGGTAGACGTCAGAAAAACAGTTAATGAAGTGAAAGGTGGAAAAGATTTTAAGGGCCTTATAACAATTCTGCTAGTTTTTGTCTATTTACACGTTAATTACATACTTAATATTAATTAGACAAGTACAGCATTGGACAAGCATGCAAACTGGTTAATAACTTATAACTCTGATAACTCGCATATGTTTTTGTTTATGCAAGTATACAAACTTGTCAGATTTCTACTACGAATTATGCTTTAAATTACTTTATTTAAATAAAAAAAAACTAATGGCAGACCATGATATGAATAAGACAATCCAAAAAGCTACTTTTCTAGTAATCACAAGAATGAATGTCTCATCTACTGATGTTGCTCTGTGCTGCCACCTAGGGGACCATCACAACATGCCTCGCATACAAAAACAATAGATGATTCTCAGAACTTGTGATTTCATTGCTCTTTAGGGCTTTTCCAAAGTTATTTTCATCATTCAAAACATTGTTTCAATTGTTATCTTGAAGGATTTGGTTTCGGTTTTTAACAGGGAAATAAATGGTGGGCTGATAAAAAAAAAGAAATAAGAGCAAAACCGAAACCAGAGAAATGATAGTACTGTCTTTTGATTTGTGTATGCAGAGTTAAATAGAAACTGAAGTATGCAATTTACAGGACAAAGCTAATAAAGCAACAGAAAGTACACATCACAGACTGCACAGAAAATGTGTGCAACTTTTGTCAAATTTATTAACACATTGTTTTTGTTCAGTTCTTAAGTTAACAGGAAAACAGTAAGTTGTCTGAAAACAGTAAAACGATGTACGTAACAGAGGCTTGTGCTGTAGAATTGAGCATCATGGTTAAAACAGAGGCATAAGAAAATATCACATGTGCGGTATCAGTGTGTCCTGCTAAAAAAAGGACATAGGTGTATTATGCACCAGAAATACTAAAATTCAACATAATCCGTTTACTTCCCTTACAATGTTCACACACCGGCAACAAGCAACAAACCATCCACTAACGTCTTCATAAGTATAGAATAATTATCTTTAGACAGATACAAATATTATCAATCACCAGAGATTGAAAATAAACTAGATTAACACTTTCATATCTGCATTAGGTTATTAAATGCACCATATTTAATGTAATACACATTCCAACTGTTGTTCAACGTGCCGCCATTTAAAAATCTACAAACAAAGCTCTCGGTTTAGGTCCAGCTGGAAGGACTCCATAGTGATGGCATTTTGCTGTCTTTAGGAATAATGACGTGATGTGCACTCAGCAGCTTCACGTTCAGTTGTTGGCGGCGTCGGCGTGTCTGGGCCAATTGTCTTCCTCAGAGGCCGAGTCAAACTCTTCCTCGGTTTCTTTGGGAGGAGCTCTGGATCACAAACACACACAAAATCAAAGTTTATTTTGCACATTCTTAGTTGGTGCTCCAGGCTCACAAACCGACTAGGGAGCCACTGGTCCCTAAAACAAAACCTTTAAGGACAGAATCACTTCTTATAGGTTGCTCAGAAGCATGTCCATGCTTCAGTTTTGTGAATGCATGTTGAGGATCTATTGAAGTGGCTGAAGATTTCAAAAGAGATCTGAAAGGATTGGACTGATTCATTAAAGAACCATCTCCAAAACAGATTGGAAGATTGCTAATATCTACAGTACATTAGCCGCTTGAAAAACTGTAGCTGTACCTAATGTAGCGTGGCCCACACTTGGCCTGGACCACCTCCTCAGTCAGTTCCACAGCAATGACGTCAGATTGAGGCACCTCAAACATGGGCTCCAGCAAGAGCTTCTCCTGAAAGACCAGAGATGTAGAAGTATTTACAGCAGCAGGGGTATCCAGTCCTGCTTCTGGAGGGACGCTGTCCTGGAGTGTTTACCTCCAACCCCATTTGAACACACCTGAAGCAGCTACTCAAGGTCTTCAGGATGAATAGAAACTTCCAGACAGGTGTGTTGGGGAAAGCTGGAGCTAAACTCCATTTGACGTTGGCCCTCAAGGAGCACCATCGGACATTGTTGACTTAGGCCGCATTTACATTACATGGTTTAAGTAACCTAATTCGGATATGACCCAGGAACGTGTAATAACCGTGTAATATGTGGAAATAAATCTGGTATCAATCGGATCTGTACATTTGTGTCTGCCATTAGAGACAGATCCGATATTCCCGTCAACGCGAGTTGTACGTCATTGAAAAAGCAAATGATGTTGACTCAAGTGGACGCTTTTGCAGGTGTTGCTGGTTTTACCAGCAGTGTTGCCAGCTCTGCAGTTTCCCTGCAGAATTGGGCTTATTTTACACTGTTGCAATGGGTTGTTTTTTAGTCCGTAGGTTAAAGTGATCTCTCCCCCTTGCTATTTCGACAGAGGGGGATTCCCACTAAATTGGAAACCTGCCGAATAAAAAAGTGATTAGGGTATTTTTGATTAGCATTTGGGTTGGTTTTGTTTTGCAGACCTGGCAACCCTGTTTCGGTCTCCCAGTGTACAGTGTAAATGCAGATATTGGATAAGAGTCACTTTTAAAAGAAAATGTAAGCTGGTCGTCAGAAAAAAAAATCGGATATAGTGAACAAATCGTATTTGGCAAAAAGGACTGCAATGTAAATGTGGCCTTACAGAATTCTTGTGAATGATGGTTGAGTGAGGTTTTGATTCCTGTTATTTACCATGATGGAGCGGAGACCCCTGGCTCCTGTCTTCCGTTCCAGTGCAAAACGGGCGATTGCCCTTAATGCATCTGGAGTTACATTCAGCTCACACTGGAATGAAAATCACAAAACCAGAAGATGAACAACTAGACTTACTACTGATCTAGCAAGAGCCACTAAAGGTGTATAGAACATGGGTTACAACGATGTCAGTTGGTGTGGTTCGGGGGTGTCAAATCCTGCTCCTGAAGGGCCACTTGTCCTGCGGAGTTTAGCTCCAACCCTAATTAAACACACCTGAACCAGGTAATAAAGGTCGTCAGAATCACTATAAACTTTCAAGCAAGTGTGTTGGAGCAGTTTGGAGAAAACACTGTAGGACATTGGCCATCCAGAAGCAGGATTGGACACCCCTGGTGTACATGCAGCATGATATACATACTTTATCCATACTGAGGAGGGCCTGATATTGAGGGACCACTGCATTACGAGGCTCTGTAAGGATCTGCACCAGCATCTCCTCGTTCAGACTGTGCAGTGGCACCACCACAGGCAAACGGCCTACAAACTCTGGGATCATGCCAAACTCGATGAGGTCCCGTGCTTCAACGTTCCTCAGGAGCCGGTCCTTTTCCTCAATCTCTGCCATTGCATCCACTTCATTCCCTGAGCTGTTGGCCAGATCTGCAGCTGCTGCAGCTCGACGCCCTTTTCCCAGGTTAGAGGGCGTCCCAAAACCAAGATACTGTAGGGGACATCAAGAAAGTATAACACACTGTAATCAGGCAAACGTTGGAGAACCTGTAAATTATATTATACTGTAGAAAAAATAACCTTTTCATTTTTCCTACGGCTGATTATCCTGTCCAGCCCGTTGAAAGCACCCGATGCCACAAACAAAATGTTGGTTGTATCCACTTGCACTGTCTCTCCTCTCAACTTCCTGCTGTTCTTCTCTGGAACATTAATGATTGTTCCCTCAAGCAATTTCAGCAAACCCTGAACAGACACACAGGAACATCAACATCCATCAATTACACAATGCAAAATAATTAAATTCTGCTGGAGCTTTCTGTTCTGCTACTCTGTTTAATCTATTACTCATTGTTGGTTTGTGTCCTGCTCCACAGGTTGATTCTTAATGATTTTCTCAGAAGCGAGGATACCCAAGACACCTCAAGGTTCGCTTCTTGGTCCGCTTCTCTTTTTGATATAAACAATACAGCTAGCATCATTAAGAAACAGTTTTCCTACCTTTTAAGTTTGTCTATAACAATTCAACAGAATATCATTATTCTGCCGGGCATGACAGTAACAACACCAGCTAGGTCAGCTATGAACCCGTGGGATAGTGTTTGATTATCAGCTGATTGTCACAGACTGCTTACTTGACTACCTGGTCATGCAGATTAGTACGCTTGAGCATCAAGATTAGACCCTTCCTGTCCTTTTTTCCTGTTGTATAGGTTCATGTCATTTCAAACGCAGATTGCTGCAATGCTCTGTTGGTCAGCCTAAACCAATGATTTACAGTGTTTTCTAACTATGCATAATGTAACAAGTTTCCAGAGATAAATCATTTCTGTCCACACTAAAAGTGTTTAGGGTCAGTACATGTACTCCAAACATTGTAAAGTTGATTGCTGGACCATTTCTATGATTATTTTTTGTTTTTTTTTAAATAATTACCTCTATGTATCAGTATTGGCAAAAAAAAAAAACTTTTTAATTTTCCTTGGTTTAACCACAGTCTTTGTAAAAAAAAATTTGTTAAACATGTTTATGGAAAACTCAATATCTCGGCTTAAGAGTTCCTTGGAACAAAACCGATGTCACAAGCACATTTCAAGGTTAAACACAGTCAAGCAACTTCCACTGGACTATTTGCGATCGATTAACCC